TTCTTTCTTTTTTTGCTTAGTGGGGGGGGTGGAGTCTAGCTGGGTCCACTCGGCACGGCGGCCACTGATTGGCCTATTGTACCTGCCCCGGGTGATTATGATGATGGAGAATTTGGTGGAATGAAGATTGGCCGGAGAAACGGAAGTACTAGGAGAAAACCCGCCCCAGCGCCACTTTTTCCACCACAAATCCCAATTGACCAGACCCCGGATCGAACCCGGGCGGCCTCGGTGGGAAGCCAGCGACTAACTGCTTGAGCTATGGCGGGCCTTAATCATTCGCAAAATACGATGATCTCTCTGTCAATGTTGATTTTAGCCCACTGTTCCTCTTCGCTGATGTTGCCTTCCCAGGATCCGCGTATGCCAACATAGCCTTAGAAACTGTCACCCTCCATACACCTAGCAATATGGCAGATGCTCCAGATAAACGTGCACCAACGGTCTGTCCTCTTTCAAAATCGGACAGGTCTCCCATTTTCCGGCTCTTTCACACGGACTGTCACTCAGCACAGTCACTAATGCACTTACACGAGCACTACAGAGTGTAAACAAACGGAAGAAGAGCGTTCAGTGTTGCCAACTGAAGCTCTTTCAATGTAGCCAACACAAATAAATTCTATTCAACTTCTTAGTGTTTCCATTATTTGTCAATCCCTTGTGCATTTCTAGTAAAGAGAACTGAGGTAAAACAAAATTGTCCTTGTGTATAAACACACCGCCATGACGGCGTATAGGAGACGTGGTCGTAAGCTCCACGCAGTTAGCAATTGGTGAAAGAGAGTGGTAGGCTTCACGCTCCGGCCGTTGTATCCGCAGGGAAAGAGTAGCCCGTATACATTGGATAGGAGGCAGGATAGACCCCTAGAGCCGGTGTGAGCGTGATGGCGAAAAGTAATTACAGACAAAAATTTTAAACAACTCCAATATATATTAAACCTGAAGAAATATAGGACTAAAAAGAAAACAGAGAGAGAGAAAACGAATGTCTTTGTAAGAGACAGTTTAATTTTGTTTCTTCCATTGCCGCAGCAGATTCGGTGCTCTTAATTTCCCCAAGTGTTGGGGGTCACATTTTTCCCGAAACCAACGGACCGGACCCCAAACTGCAGCATCCGTATATCTTTTAGAAACTCGCTTCGGAACCCGCGTGTAAGAGTGTAACAAGTACATGTGTTGGCGTTTAGCTACCAACACGCCACAAACTAAATTCTCGGTACAGTTCATACGATTCTATATACTGGGATCGCGGGTTCATATCCCGTTCATTTTGATGCTTCTATGCCCTTTCTTCAGTTCATCTATGAAAAATCAGAACTTACGATAGACATCAGCGTAACGCGTATGTGACTAACCTAAAACCTTGGGTCGCGCCATAGCTCAAGCGGTTAGTCGCTGGCTTCCCACCGCGGCGGCCCGGGTTCGATCCCGGGTCTGATCAAGTGGGATTTGTGGTGGACAAAATGGGGCTGGGGCAGCTTTCCTCCGAGTACTTCGGTTTCCCTTACCAATCTTCATTCCACCAATTGCTCCACCATCACCCTCACCTATCATCTGGGGCTGGTACAATAGGCCAGAAGTCTCACTCCACTAAGACTAATAAAAAATAAATAAAACCTACCATAAGATAGTTACTATAGGATCCTGACGATGGTGTATAACAAACAGAGATATTGGGTTTTCGGACTTTATCCATCGTCCTGGTTTTTAAGATAACTAATAAAAACACGACGTTTCGGAAACTGGATCTGTTTCCGTCCTCAGGTGAGGGAAAACCACCTATTCTGTTGGGTCCCTTAGAAAGAGCTAGCCTCAATCACTTGTCTTGAGGACGGAAACAGATCCAGTTTCCGAAACGTCGTGTTTTTATTAGTTATCTTAAAAACCAGGACGATGGATAAAGTCCGAAAACCCAATATCTCTGTTTGTTATACACCATCGTCAGGATCCTATAGTAACTATCTTATGGTAGGTTTTATTTATTTTTTATTAGTCTTAGTGGAGTGAGACTTCTGGCCTATTGTACCAGCCCCAGATGATAGGTGAGGGTGATGGTGGAGCAATTGGTGGAATGAAGATTGGTAAGGGAAACCGAAGTACTCGGAGGAAAG